ACGCTTGATTGGTGTAGTGTGTACTTGGTAATGTTAGGCTAATGGTTGGACTGGATGATCTTAAAGGTCTTTTCCAAGCTAAACGATTCTATGATTCTATGATTCTGTGATACCCAGGGCTGCGCCAAGTCCCAGTTTGCATCTGGCATCTTGTCAGAGTTATTTAAAACAAAACAAAACAAATCCAAAAGATTAAGCCATCAACCAGAAAAAAAAAGCCATTAGCTCTTTTCTGGATTTTTTTTTTTTTTTTTCCTACGCAGCCCTCGTACTGTGTACTTATATCCTGCTTCACCTGGGACTTTTTGTTCCGTAGCTTATCGTTACTCAAGGCACCTCGTGGAAGCAAATCCTCCCCCGGTTGGAAACGCCGCCGCGGCGGAGGTGGCATGAAGCCCGCGCTGGGGGTGCCGGCTGGCGCAGCCTCGCCAGCCCCGCAGCCTCTCAGAAGACAGAGTCGTCGAGGGGGCTGCAGTAGGGATCTTCAGCGAAGCTGCCGAACTCGGTCTCCGTCTCACTGGTGCAGGTCCGTGCTCTCTGGAAAGCAAACACCGCTTTTAGCTGGTGAGCTGGGAGGTGAACTGAGGCTGTTGACTAAACTGCACTAATTAAGAGAGAGGAGCCGCGACGTATCATTTTAAGCCTGCGTTGAATATTTCTTATGAAGCAAATGCTGCAAAGGCCTCCCTTAACAACAGGTTTAGCAAAATGCCGTGTTTCAAGTTGGTGCATTTAAAGAGGGATTCACCCAAAACGTCTTGTGAGGTAAGAGCCGAGAAAGCGTGTTGGGTTCAACAGAAGAATTTCACCAGGAAGCTCACATTCCCGCTGAAGTCCTCCATCCCTCGGGCCAGCAGCCCCCTGCACCCACAAATTTCCCATTTGGCACAACACAGCTGAGCACGGTGGCCCGCCGGACAGCCCTCTGTAGCCAAGGACAGAGCCCCACGAGGAGCTGGAGAGCATGTTATGAGGCACGTGAATTTTTTCTGAGTGAACAGCAGCGAAGCCCACTCGTGGGGCCAGATCCAGCGCCCGGGTACCGAGCAGGTTGTGCAAGCCAGCGCGCAGGCACGGGGCGACTCGCAGAAGGAAGCAGAAAGCAGGGGCAGCGGGAGGCCGAGCGGCTCCTCGGGACCGAGCGCGGTCCCCACGGCCTGCGCTGCCACCGCTACGCGGGGTTTTCGTCACCTCGCCCCGCTGTTTACGCTACGAATTTAGGAACTGAGTGCCCACAACAAACAGCTGCTGGGGGTTTCGCTCTCGCGGGTGATCTCAGCGGAGGCACTAGGGCCCTGTCCTCACGCTTCCCCGCCGGAGCCACCTCCCTTGCAGCCGTGGTGCCGGCAGAAAGCCTCCAGCCGGTATCGCCTACCCGCATCGAGCTCACTTTAAAGTAAAGAGACAACTAAATACAAGGCAGTGCTGCTTTTGATAATGTGAAGCAGCCTTTGCAAGCTCACATTTTGCTAGCTGCGGTGTTAATATTTGCTATTTCTCATATCCTTATTTGCGATACCCTAAGTCATGTCATTTTACACCAGTGGCTTTAATTAAAACCAAACATTATATGATAATCTTTTAAGTCTGTTTCCTTGACCGCACCATGGAATAAGAACAATACCCCAAAAAAATCAAACTCCTATTCTAAGGGGACAAATTAAAATCAAGTTACTGAGCAGCATGTCCCTTGAGCAGACAATAAGGAGTTTTATCTTATCTGTAAGGCAAATGTATTTATCGGGAAGTAACAGCAAACATAATAAGGCTTAAGACCAGCTTAACAGTAGGACCAAAGCATTCCCCATTCTTAGGTTTCACGAAATAAATCAGCTCTCCGGGAGTCAGCCTCCAGTCCCTGCCAAGGCAGAGCTATCTGGAGCACAAACTGCGTTTCCGCACAAAAGGCAGAGCCACAGGTACGGTGCCGTGTGCCTGTAATTCATTGCGTATTAGAAAAGCACTCGAGAATAGCACTTAATCCTTTCCTTCATTTTTAACCCTCCCCGAAACACTTCATCTACAAACAAGTCCCGATCCAGAGCTACTGCAGACTGGGACCGGTGCTCGGCAGCGGAGGTGGCCGCCCAGCCAGGTGAGAGCGGACCGCAGCAGTTGCTGCGATTGCAAAAACAGCCTCGCAAATTGCTCAGTCCAGTGGCTAACTCCATGTTATAGTCAGGGCTGCGCGTACCGTTACGCTAACTGCACCCAGGAATTTCCCATTCGGCATGTTTTGCACAACGCGTTTGTAGTTCACATTTAATATGGACGTTAGCAATTCTAAGAGGTCAAAAGGCTTTAACGGAGCAGTAACAAGCGATACGCTCACAGCCTTACAGCGAAAGTTTTTTTCACAAGCGTTCCTTCTAGTAAAAAAAAAAGAAAAAAACAAAGTGACTAAAATGTTATTTTACCTCGTAGTCATTTGGGAAGGGATCTCTGAATTTGTTTCTGGGCGTTGGAATTGGTGGGAACAGTTTACTCCATACGTGGTTTCTGCAAAAAAACAGCAGCGGAGGGATGTGAAAGAATTGCTTTTTCTGACGGCTGACACATCCAACAAGCAGCACGTGTTCAGCCCCGCGAGAAGGCACGTCTCCTCGCACCGCTGGCCCTCCTGCCCCCCCTCCCGCTCCGTCATCGGCATCTGACGGCGGCAGCAGGTTCAAAAGGGGCCAAAGTAGTGGGTCGTGGTCCACCAGCAGACACCCGGGGCCTGGGCGGGTGTGCGGCTCCTCACAGGACACGTCCGGACGCTGGGGACGCGCGGATGACGAAGAGGCGGAGGGCTGACGCTCCCCCCCATCAGCCTCTCCCGTCCCAGCCACGGCAGAGCTGGGCGAGAAGGTCCGATCCAACGGGGCACTGCTGTGGCTTTTAATGGCCAGCAAGGGGCCTGTCCGCGAGAGACGTTAATTGCTCTGATCTGTTCACGCTCATGTTCTTCCCAAGGGCTGCGTTGTCAGGTACCTTGTTTGGACAGTCAAGGCAGGCGGCCTCTTGCTCAGACTTTGGTTTCTGGACATAATCTGCCCGCGTCTCATGGTGAGAGAGCGACCGCAAATAATTGCGTGCCGAGGGAACAGGAGGAGGCAAGGAACGGGACCGGAGATGGCTGAGAGTAAGCGGTTCTGCTTAGCGGTGTAGTAACTGCTAACACCCTTTCAGCTACTCCTTCCCTGCCTGGCTCTCTTTAGTCTGGCTCAAGCATACGGGCTTACGTATTTTTGTGATAGCAAGTGCCGCAGAGTGAACTTTTTCTTGTCTTCGATACATCCCGGAGTACAGACTTCACGTTTCATTGCCAAAACGCATTCACTATCTCTACCCCAGATAGCACGATGTCCAAACAGGGCCAGATTTTAATGGGAACTTGGCCTGGGTGACGATTATAGGATTTAGCCCAGAATCCGGCGCTTGTTCTGTGGAGCAAGCCTGGCATCCATGAAGCACAGACATGGCCAAGGTGTGGAGCCCGAGCTGCTGGGACCAAGGGCAGATCTGCTCCTCTGCCCCCTTGATTTTGTGACAATTCTCCCGGCTGATGTCTGGTTAGTTCAGCGCTTATGTTCTTATGACTATTCTTCTTCCAAAAGCTTTCTGAGTTCTGTCAAGTTTTCTTTTATCCTATTATTCCTCCTCACCAGGGAGGTGCAGAGGAATAATATTTTCTGACTATCGCTTTGGAGCTAAACCTTCCTGGCTGAGCCGCTGCCGCCTTGAGGGAGACATTGATGCTTAATTAATTATTAGGCGAAGGGAAGGGCCGTACCGCTGCTCACACGATAGACACGTCCCGAGCAAGCTGCGGGATGTCTCCCCATTGCTGCACACGGACGAGGGTTTGTGAGGGAGGTGTACGGCCAGAAGTGGGAATAGGGGGAGGAAAAGCAGGGTGTGAGCGAGTTGGTTTTAGGAGACATTTGCGTCCCCTTTGTTGAAATGCTGAACGCAGTCCGACCATCGCTGGCTGCAGAGGACAAGTGGGAGAGTAAGGTGGCTGCTGGCGTAACTCAGGAGCAACAAGATTTGGTTTTGTTTGGAATTGGCGCGTTTCTAGTTGTGCTGTTTGTCAATAAAAGATTTTGATGGAACCATATCAAAATTATTTATTGAGTCAGCAAAAAGCGCAAGTTACACGTCGCTTCTAGAATAGAAACCCTTAAGGAGGGGTGCACAAACGCCCAACAGAAATGAGGCAGAAGCACACTTCTGTGTTCGGGGGGGCTGCTTGCCCCTCAGGTGCAAGAGTCTTTGCAGTGAGGCGTTGGTGGGGGTGGTGACAGCGATGCCCTCAGAATGGTCCTGTTCTTTTTTGCAGGACACTGCAAAGTTGGAGTTACGTGATTAAATATCTTGTCACAGAAAATGTTCCAGACATCTCTGCTTGTCTCTACACGGGTTAGAGCATGGCCCTTTCCATTAGCGCTACTTGGACCTTCAGGCTTTGGAAACACCCCACGGGACCTTCATGCCTTAACTCAGCGTTGCGGGGCCTCCAGCTATTGTGCTGTGTCTGTCTTTCTGAAATTTGCCACTTTTCCCACAGGCTGTGACATGAAAAGGCCAAAGATAAAGAAAGAGAAATAAGTAGGAGAACAAGTTCTTCTTCGCCCTCTTCTAACCGCTACGATGAGATTGATAAAATATTTGTTTTCACAGTATGTTAGAGGGCCTTTGCTAAGCGTCTTGCCTCCACCGAGATTCCCTGTGACATTTGCCAAACGACTCCGCGGTAGTGGGCGGCTGGTGACCACTGGTCGTGGACTGGAGTGGTGGGCAGGAGAGGGAGGGGTACTCGGTGGAGGTCGGGATGACCACGTTGCTTTCAGGGTATGGAGGGCTACTGATTATCCTCACATCAATTAAGGAGAGCGCAGCTGGGAGCAAGTTATTAACTACATCCTCCCGCGGGCTCACCTCCAGGAGAAAATGTTATTCCAAGGTACAGCCTGAGGAAGTACAGAAGATGCTCATTCATAAAGACAGAGGGAAAACTAGGAAAACATTCAGTTGTGCTTTTTATCAAGACAGTCACCCCATCAGCTACTGCAAGTAAGTGAAGGGAAAAGACTATCCAAACGGTCCCAAAGGGCTACTCTGCCTTGTAGCATTTCTCCCAAACGGTGGGCTGTATCTCTGCTGCCTGCAACCACCAGGAAGCACACAGAAAAATTTATAGAACTCTTTGCTATAATGAAATTCCTTATAATGGCTTCAAATCGTATGAAATTTGAAATGATTCTGTGGCTTGAATTGCATGGTACACTTCATGAATTTTCAACAGCAGTAAAAACTGAGAGTACTAATGAAACTGTGATCGAGGGAACCTGTTCTATTTTTCTTTTTTTTAATATTTGCAGATACAACAAATGAGCAGGCTAAGCACGGCGTTTCATCTTCTTACACTTCCCACCTCCTCCCAGGGCAGGCTGGAGGATTAGAGAAGTGACAAGGACACCGAGCAAGAAGCAGCTTGGGAAGGGTGAAGTGAAGCTAGCAACTTCATGAACTTCAGTGCAGCAGGCAGATAAAATTTTAATCACTTTGGCAAAGATGGAACATAATGAGCCTTTGGGTGCTAGGGAATTACATACTAGCGAGGCAGAGAGAAACTCCTAGAAGCAACCAACGTAGCATCAAGCAGCTGAACCTGGAAGAGCTAGCTTGAATTTGTCTGATGTATTAAAGTTCATAAAATGCATTAGTACAACATCTTCAAGCTGGTCCTTGAGTAGAAGTCTTCCCCTATACCTATTTCTCCCCCTCTATCTGTTTCAGGATCTCCGCAGGGGGTAACTGCATAATGTCCAAATACTTGCAGAACTCCACAGGAAAACATGGAGCGGTACGACTGCTACTAACTGGTGTTGGAACTAACTGGTGTTGGTGTTTTGCTGTCCCAAAGAGAGACGAGAGAGCTGATGAAGGTGATGCTGGAGCAGTGGAGGACCTACAGCTACGCAGACAGGTCAATCCATAAAAGAATCAGTGATGTGAGTAAGAGCAGTTGGGGATTTCCACCAACACATCAGGGCTGCATAGTTGGGAACAAGTGCATACAAAGCACAAGGTGAATAAACTCTCTGGGGAGTTAATCTACCTTGTTCCAAAAAGGACTGCTTATTGAAACCTGCTATGCTAATTAAATTAAGAACAGGTTATCATCGACACCAGCCACTTTAGAGAAAGTTAATAACAGTTATTCTAAGGTAACATTCCTGTAGACAAGACCTTTATTTGATAAAGGAAATGTGGCGTGGAAAGGAAAATAGCTAAGGACACATCAGGATGACCAATAAAGTAAAAGACATTAAAGAAATGAATAAGAAATTAGCAGAGTCGAGGACAGCACTTACATTACTGGGAGCTGTTTTTATTGTGGACTAATAATTGCTGCTCGATGCATATTTCAGGGTAGAAGCTTGTAATTATATTGATTCTTTTAGTCATCACTTATGATTTGACTAGTCACAGCTACAGAAATCCAAAGTGTATCTGGGTTTCTTCACAGCATGTTTTGGGAAGTTTGTCTGTATGGCGTCTGGTTTTACTACATGGCATCCATAGCCTCTGTAGTAATTAAAAATAAGCTAAACCAATAGTTCAGAAAGTCGAAGCAAACAATAGTTCAATGCACTTGCTCCTGCTAAGAGGTCAAGAGGAGCAGCAAGCACAAAAGCACTGAATTTTTACCTCTTCAGAGCATCTACCACATTCCTTTCATGTCAACTGAAATTCAGACTACACGCCCAGGGCCCAGTACAGAGTGTATGTCTGCAGGCCGAACTAGACAAGACTGAGAAAATATTGGTCTGTACATTTTAGCCATGACATGCTCTCAGCAGCTTTCACCAGGGTTAAAGACAGAGACCTCCTGGGGAAATTGCTGACCCAACCAGATCCATTTAGGTGAAGAAACAAGATAAGGACAAAGAGATTTTTAACAAATTCGCCTCACTCAGTATATGGTTTTGTTGTTTAAGATTAAATTGAATAACCCTCTTACCCCACCAATTTTGCTGAATGTTATTGTTGATAATTAATGAGGCTGATTACTACTTTTCAGTACTTTTGCTTTGTATAATCATGCTTGAATACCAAACTCAGGGCCCTTTCTTAAAATTAAGCAAAGCTTGTAACATCCCCACGCGCCTGTTGAACACCTAGTCCTTAGTTATACTGTAATTAAAAAGATGATGATACTTACATTTTGCATATTAT